TTCGGCCGCAAGGATAAGCCCCCGCCGTCGCCGCTCAGAGCGGCACCTTCATTGTGATCTCGGCGCCACGCACGCCAATCACCTTGCCGAGCGAGGCGTAGTCGTATCGGCCATCCATATTCTCATACTCGTAGTCATAGCCGTGCCCTCCACGCAGCCAGCTCGTCCTCCATGACTGACTGAAGTGGTTGGTCCGTCTTCGCCGTAGCTCCCACTTGGATCAGCGCGCTGTGGTTGCTGTCCTTGGTGTTGCACTGCTGCTTCTGCTCCTCTTGCGGAACCTCCTCGGCCTCGGCGACGGTCGTGGGCCCCCTGCGCGAGATGCAGTGTGAACTTCGCGTGGTAGCTGTCATCGCACTTGCTGAGCTTCAGGTGATTCACTTTGTAGAGGTCTGTCTCCGCACAGAACTGGTCCGCTAACTTCCCGTGCTCTGTGAGACTGCTCTTAGTATTGTCGCCCACGTCCGCGGGGCAGGGGGACGAAGCGAACGAGCGTCCCTTGCCCGCCTCCTTGCGCTTGTCCGCGTAGATCTTCCTGCAGGCATGGAGCGCCTTGATCCCCTCGGACTGGGCCGACATCGGATACGTGCTGTAGACGGCGAAAACGACCCAGGCGATCTGCTGAGCGTTGGACATCACTTGCTTGATCATCTCCGTGAACGACTTCTTCAGCTGGGGGTCGCCCCTGGCCTGGTAGGCTTCTCCTCCGCGTAGTTGGCGCGCGGGGCATTCGCGACGCCGATGAAGCCAGCAGCCGCGAGCCCGAGGAGGTGGAAGTGGCCGCGGCTTGGACTTGAAGCCGACGCGGTACGCGTGGTTGAGGACTGGCTCGAAGCTCTCCTGCGCGAGGGGGGGCTCGGCGAGCTCGTCATCGTAGCCCACGCCAGTCGACTTCGGCTGCTGCTTGGTGAAGTAGGTTGGCTGGAAAGTTATCTGGAAGATCTCGGCGGGCAGTATCCAGTCTGGCACGGGGGCGCACTTCTTGAAGTACTTGAGCCGCTTGGCGACGCCGTAGATAGCTCGCTTGATGCCGTCCTTGGCGTCCTCTTGTTCCTGGCGAACTTGGAGGTTGTGCTCTGTGGTGAACCCGTGGGAGGTCTCTTTCGGGATGCGCTGCTCCTCCTCGAGGTCGAGCTGGCGAGCACTAAACCCTCCGTGCTGGCCGTCTGCTGCAATGTGAACTACCCACTCCTGCACACTGGGGCGTGCTCTGGTCGCGCGGCTGTAGTTGCGGTTGCGTTTGCCGTATTTGGAGCTGGCCATGATGCGAGACTGTTGAAGAACTTCGGCGTGTTCTCGTCGTTGCCTAGCCTCGTAGGTGCGCTCCTCGAGGTGTTGACGTCTTGCTTCGTGCTGGCGCTGCTGCTTCTTGATGGCTCGTGAGAGGACCTCGATGTGGCACTCGATCTCGTAGTTGGGGTCGGTCCCGAAGTACTCCTCTCTGAGCTTGGTGCGCGCCTGGGGTAACCGCAGATGTTCGTCCTTGAGCTGGTGGTACAGTGCGAGCTTGGACTTCGGGCGCTCGAAGACGGGCATGGCTGCCTCCTTCATGAGGATCGCGAGGGGCCCCACGAGCTCGTCCACTGCGTCGTCCCCGACCGACTTCTTCAGCTTGTCCTGGTGCTTGCCGAAGTAGAACTCCGTCACGTCATTGAACTCCTTGTGGTACTTGCCCTTCTGCAGAGCCAGGGCCGTCTTGTCGTAGTCCCAGGCGGTCTTCTTTAAGTCGATGAACACCTTCGGGATGATGACGTTGGCGGCTGCAGTCGGTAGGACAAGGTCGCGCGGCACGTTGTAATTGAAGAGCTGGGGGGCCTTCATCATTCGCCACCAGACTCTGCAAGAAGTATTGTGGTAGCATAGACCGCGAGGCCCTGCAATGTAGTCGAGACTTGTGGCCTGCCCGTGGGCACTGAAGTACGCGGGCCCCGCTTTCCAGGAATTGTTCAGGATGCACCTGCCGTGCACGTCGAGCGTGTAGTGGATGGCAGCGGTTGCCGCTCCAGGTACTCTTGTAGCGCCTGGGTCGCCGATCACGTTGCTAAACTTGGTGGGAAGCAAGCCGTCCTTGCCGTAGTTGTCGTTCAGGACTGGGCGGATGATCGGCGTACTCCTGGTGTGCTTCACGTTACGAGTCTGGTTGGTCCTCTTGAGCTTCTCGTTGATCGTCTTGACCCGAGCGTAGTGGTGCTTGGCGAGCCCTGACCGTAGAGGTGGAGACGCAACAGTGAACTTCGTGTCGAGTCCTCCTCGGCGAAGGCGAACTGCTCCTGCACGTCCTTGAATGCTCGGTGGCGGGCTGGGGAGCGCGGTCGCTCGATTGATGCGGTAGGGGTTGCAGATCGCGCTGGCCACTCCCGCTTGAATGTTGGTGGTAGGGCCACTGCCGAAGCTCCTCTTGGCGAAGCGGCGCAGGTAGGTCTGGCGCTGGTCGTCGGGGCTGGTGGGGGCGAGCTGCCTCCCACGAGTGGCTGGCAACATGATGACGTCGTCAGCGCTGAACTGTCTCGACATCTGCCAGCTTGTCTGCCAGCTTCTCGGCGGCGCGACCGTGCTGATCGGGTTATACACACCCCATCTCAGGAATATCGTCCAGAAGAACGCGAGCGAAGTAAATGTGGATGGCCAGCCGCGCTGGCATGACATGAAGGGTGCCCTGGGGGCGGAAGCTGCTCTGCGCGGGGTGCCTGCTGGGCCGCGAAGAGGGCTAGAGCAGGAGACGGCGGCTGAGTGGGAGGAGGAGGGGGGGGGGAGGGGGCGGAGGAGAGGAGAGGAGGAGGAACGCGGGGCGACGTCTCTTCAAAACGAGGACCCAGCACCACAGGATGGTTGGGAAAAAGTAAGCGCTTGCCGTTCGGGCGCCGTGCCGACTCCCGTTCCACTTCGCGTTGCCGCTGAGCGGCTTTTGCCTCGCTCGGCTTTGACGCGGCTGCATTTCGCGCGACGCGTGGTCTGAGCCCTTTCAAACCCCCCCTCGTCGCCGCGGCCCTTGCCGCCGCGGTCGCCGCCGAGCCGCCGCGGCCCATCGCCTCCTGCCGCGGTTGCCCGCCCCTCGCGCGTCTTGCGCCGTTTCCCACCGGCGCGTTTCATCTCCGCCGTGCAAGTTGCACAATGCGCCAGCCAGTCTTCCCCTTGGAATTTATATGTCGCGAATGCCTCTTTCAGCGGCCTCCGCTTGCACAGCCCGCGCTCGTCTCGAGGCGTCGGCTTCGCCCCCCGCTCTTCCTGGCCCGCGCGGTCGCCTCGCAGCGCCTCCGACAACTTTCCCCACCCGCCATTCCGCGCCCATTGCGTGGCATCCTGTCGGAAGGACGAAATGTCAAGAAGGATGTCCCTCCGTCGCTTGGCCCCCAGCTTGCGCCGCGCCCCCATTCCAAATCCGCGATCGCCGCGCTCGCCGCCCGCCCGTAATCGGCGCGCGCGCGCCGTCAGTGCCGCAGGCGGGGCTATCATGACGCGCGCGCGCTCGACATTAAAAGCTGGGTGCTTCCGACGCCCGTCCAAGAACCACTGGTGCTCGTTTGATGGGAAGATTGGAAGCGCTACCATTCCGTATTCGGGCAGTCGGGCACGATCGCTTCGAGCAGCTGCACCGACTCCTCTTCGTCGTCGTCTCTAGTGCCTCGCCTCCGCGCAACGGCCGCCCATGGATCGTCGCCGCGAGCCCCCGCAGAAGCTGCTTCTTCGACAGGGCCAGGCGATATTCCAGAGCCGCTGGCAAGCCCTTCGCCAGGGGAAGCCACACTGGCAAGCTTGCGCGCTCCTTGTCATGGTGGCCTAACCATAACAACTTGTTCTCCAACGTGCGCGGCCGTCTGTGTTCCTCCTGTGGCACGGGCGATCTTTGGATACGACCCAGTAACAGCTGCTCCCTTCGACCCTTCGCCCACTGCACGGCTCTCTGCATCCCGACGTGGCACCGCATGTCCAGTTTGGCATCAGGCCGCAACTGCTTCTACATGTCGCCCCAGAGCCGCGCGTCGTCCAGCGACGTCGCAACGAGTTTCTTCTTCGCCCGTTCAGCCCTGCACGCGTCGCACGCCAGGCCATTCTGTTCGGCAGTTGCCTCTGCATTTTCTCGCAACGCTCGCCCCCACATTGCGGTGCGCCGATCACCCACGACCCAGGCATGCACCGTGGTACGCCGTGCAATAAACTGTGCGCGCGTTCAAGCAGCGCTCCTCGGCGAAACCCGACTTGAACTCCAACAAACCACTCGTCTTGGCCCTCCACGCGCTTGCAGTCCGTCAGCTCCATCGCCCCCTGCACTGCCCATTCGCCTCTTGCTCCCCAGAAGATGTGCTACCCGTGTCCCTCCGTGGCACCCAGCGCGTACTTCCTCGCCTACTTCGACGACGACGACGACGAGGACGAAGACGCTACGGCGACAGGCGGCGGCCGAAAGGCCTCCAAATTCTCCAAGAAACCCGAGGAAGCCTGATGATACCTTCCGATGGCCGACCATGGAAACCGCAAAAAACACCCAGGAGGACAGAGGCTCCCCAGACGTACCGGAATGACCATGGGGAGCGAAATGCAATAAATGGGTCGGCAGGTGTGGCGTAAGCCTGTCGAGTCTGCTCCTGCGGCAGGCGTTTGGATTCCAAGGTCTGTCGAATGGCATTCCAAAGCGCAACGCTCCGCGCCGAACCCAACAGCTCCTAACTCCTATCCGCATCCGTGAGGGTTGCGGGTACATTATTTACTGGCCGCCGCAAAAACGATCCGCACTGAAATCCCCGCGCTCCGAGGTCCTTGGAGGCCCCAAATCTGCCGAATCCCCCCTCAACTCAATAGATGTCCGACGGTCTGTTGTTTTCAGAACTGGGGGGCGCCAACTTAGCGCCCCCTGTCCCAGAGGCACTTTTTGTTCCTGCGAATCGTTGCTTGATTGTTCTCCAGGCCCAGGGGCCGAACCAAAGGGGAAACGCCCAGATTGGGAACAAAAAAAATCATCAGCTGGAAATCTCGGCCCAGGACTATCCTCCGCCCTGCAGGGCCTCGGCCAGCGGGATCACGTCGTCTGGGAACATGTCCTGCTTCGTCTCCTGGAACAGCTCGTTGGCGAGGGCCTCAGCCGCCCAGACCAGCTCGCCCTCCAGCCGCTGCTTCCCCTCGATGTCGAGGCGCTCCTCGGCCTGTGTGAGCATCGCCTCTCGCGAGCGACGAATCTATCCATATGCGCGAGCCCTCGCGGCCTGGATGCCGAAGCGCGATCCCATGGATATGCGGTCCCGCGGCTGTGCTCCGCGCAGGGCATCTGCGCAACATCTGCCCTGTATCCATGGGGCCGCGCCGATGAGTCTGGACCGCGAGGCTGGGGATATGGACATGCTTCCCGCCCACTCGCCTCAGTCATGACGAGCTTGTCCACAGGGGCGTAAACCTAACGCGAGGGAGAGACTCAGAGGCATCGAGCTGAGGTGAACCGGGAACCTCCGAGGGCCGAGAGGTCTGGAGGATAGAAGAGGCGTCGCGGGCCTTCTTGAGCGATCTGAAGCGTTTGGTTATATACGTATTCGCTAGATGCTACAGCCGGATCTAGGCCAGAAGAGCATCCTTCAAGAACATGAAACCCTCCGCCAGCCCAAAAACAGAGAACATCCAAGGGTACCCTCCGCAATATGCACACGAACACCCAACAAACACGGAGAACATCAGGGGGCCCTCCCTGCACCGACCTCGATCGAATGCCTTGGTCCGACCGTATATGCGTATAGATGAAAATGTTTTTACATATGAATATATACACAAACTCTGATCTATCCGCCACCGTTTCGGAGGCTGTGATTGGACTGTCCTCAGGTCCCTTCGAATTCGCCGAGTTGGGTATTCTAAATGCCCTGAGAAAGGGCCAGAGCCTTCCGGGGTGGTTGCGTCGTGGCTTTTGGTGTCCCCACGCTACTCTTCCAGGGGCAACAGGGCGCCAGCACAGGCCACAAGTGTCCCAAGAGGCCCCCAAGACGATCCAAGAGGTTCTCGACTCGGCCTAGTAGAGCCACACGACGCCCAGTATGCCCTTTATACGGGCCAAGGGCGCCCAAGACGCCCCAAGAGGGCCTCAAGATGATCCCCCGAAAACCAACATCATCATTTTTCCCGGGGCTAATTCAACCGATGTTAGCGTTCTCGCGTCTCCGAGCTTCCAGCGCTCCAAGACAGTCAAGGATGCCCCCGAGGTGGCTCCAAGAGGCCTCAATAGGCCCCCCAACAGGGCCTCAAGCCCAAGAAAACCCCAAGAGGCGCCCAGAAAGGGGAACCCAAACTGCAACTTCGAGCCTGCCCCCACAAGGTGCCTCCACAAGGGGTTCACAAGACGCCCCCCGAAACCCCCAGAATGCATCCAGAATGCCGCAGAAAGATGTCTCCAGCATGTCCTCCGAAAAGGCACGGTGGCGGGATGGGCTTAAGGCCACTAGATCCGCCGCCCCCAACTTGCCATCGCTCGGACGTCCATTCCACGTGCATTGTTCGGTTTCGTGCGTGCTCTTCTTGCCAGATGGTCCAGGATGCTCCTCGATGGTCCTCGTCGAAAAAATGCACACGTCCGAGCGATACCAAACCAATGGTCTTGCCACAGGTCGGGCGTTGGCAGAACTGGGTTTAATGGAACCTGGTTTAGTGATGTGTACTGGGGATCCCCCCCCGCCCCGTTCCACTAACCGGAACTGCCGTCACCCGAAGAAAGACCGGCTACGGCAGACCTGGCTCAATTCAATGGCTCCGAGGCCCTACCACTAACCGGGTCCCCTCACCTGCGGTTGCGGCTATACCCAAACAGGGGTGCCCAGCGTGCTGGGCGCCTGGGCGGCTGCTGGCCCTCTTTGGAAGAGCTTCCCGTGGGGCTCCGGCCCGGTGCGCCGCCCGGGGAGCTGCGCCGTCCTGCGCCAGCTTCTGGGGCCTCGGTGGGCCGTCGTGGCCCGTCGGAAGTACCAAGGGCTCCTGACTTCGCGCTTCGCGCTGCGCGAAGCGCGAACAACTTCGCGCTCTTGCGCCGCCCCGAAAGGGGAGAAGAGGAGGGCGAGGAGGAGGGGGAGGGGGAGTGAGGCCCGCGAAGCGCGACTAACTTCGCGCCCTCGTGGGAGCCCTTGAGTACAGTCGGCCCAGATTAGTAGGCCGACCCTGCCAAATCAACGGTACCCTTGTGTCCTGTGTCTCGCGACCCATGCCTCCTGCATTCCCATGGCAGTGTGGCCCTTGGAAGGGTCTTGTGTCCTCTCGCGTGTCCTGTCCAATCGAGTCCGACTGCAGGAAAGCGCCAGAGCACGCAAAGCCTGACAGAAGCTCAGGAATTACATGTTTCGCCTCCTGAGGGCCACGTGGGGCTTCTTCTGAGGGCCCCTTGGCCGTCTTGAGGCCCTCCTGGGCCGCCTTGAAGCCATGTTGCGTCATCCAGGAACGCTGTTGGGCGGTCTTGGAACCTCTTGGAGCGCTTTTGGGCCGTCTTGGAGCCCTCTTGGACGGTTCTCTTCGCAACTCTTCCCCTCCTTCGACGCGTTTTGGCGCTCCCCGACGGGTCCGAGACGGCCGCGGAAAAAACAGTGCTGCCTGGGGCTTCATGGCCCCCCCCCCCATCTGTTGCCCTCCATGAGCCGTTCCCCCTCCAGGGGTTTCCAAAACGACTCAGGGGGAATACATGGTGCAGTGGCTGTGGAAGACTTCGGCCCCACGTCTGGTCACATTGGCGTTGGAGGGACTGTTGGCGTGCCACGTGTTGATCGCCTGAACGCTTCCGAAATGTGCGGGTGCATCGGTGGTCTCGCTGGCCCTGTCTTCTCCTGACCCATGGCGTCGCCCTGGCGCTTGGTTGTTCCACTCTCGGCCGAAGAACGCCGTCCTCGGAGCGCAACTGCGTCAGCCTCGAGGCTTGGTCTATCAAGGGGCGCACCCGTGCTCACACCCCCGAGGCGGCCCCGACGCGACCGGTCACTGCACGCTGGCGTGTTGAGCGAAGATCCGACCGAACCTCACCACCACGACCTCCATGATCATCGTCGTCGACGGTGTGGGCTCCTTTCAGGATGTGGCGCCCGCTCACTGCAAATGAGCGTGGGGCCGTAGCTTAAGTGGAAAACCAACCACCCCGCTGGAGCCTTGTTCAAGATATCGTGGCGGACCTTCACGTATTCGCTCTCGAACTTCACCCAATCTTCGTCGAACTTCTCGAGCTCCTCCTTCAAGTCCGACTTAAACCGCTTCAGGCCTGTGGCGAAGTCATCCGTCATGCGGGGCTCGATGATGCTGCCAATTCTGTTCATGTAATGGTCGACATCCTTGAGAAAATTTTCCGATGCGGTCCGGATTTCCTCGGGCAGCGCGTACTCCTCTCCGTTGAACGAGATGTTCGCGTTCTCACGGACGTAGCGCGCCTGGGTGATCACGTTCACGTCGTAACCGAAAGGGAAGAACTGCGGCGTGGGCGCCAAATACTTGTGGTGGTAGTTGAACCTATAATTGAACTGGCCCTCCTTCTTCGAGTGCAGCTGCAGGTGCTCTGCCAGAAGGCCGATCATGTTCAGAAAACGAGCAATCCTCGGGAAGAAATAAATCACATTAACAGAAGACTTTCGAGCGCGCCCAAACAATCTCTCCGCTGGCGCCAAGCCCCCTCCCCGAGGCTGCCCGGCGCCAGCGGAGAACCCGTCTGCGAACGTCAGAATATTGTCGTTTATGTGGCTCTCTAATTCTCTAAGTCCGCTCCCTGGAGAAAGTCCTCGTCCCGGGACGTCACGCTTACGCGGCCCGAGTCGTGCCCTGGGGGACCGAGCGCAGAATGAGCAGCCACACATTTTTGCTCGTGACGCCCAGATCAAGATCTAGGTCGGGCCTGTCCCCTTACAGGGGGATTTTTGGCGAAAAGTCAAAAATACAAAAAACACCCAAAATGCTCAAACATTGTCAAAAAACATAGTCCCCAGACTATTTCCCTATCTAGGCTCTGCCTAGAAGGGTTCTTACTCTCTTTGCTTAAAGAGGCCAGGCAGTGCAAATCACCCCGGGCGGTTCCCCCAGTCCCCTGGGAGCCAAGCGAAAGCAACAACAAAGGTAAAAGCAAACGCGCGGTTCCCCCAGCTGCGCTCCCTGGGTGCCAAGCAAAAGCAAAAGCAAAGGCAAAAGTGAAGGCAAAAGCGAAGGCAAAGCAAAATCATAGCATAGCATAGCATAGCATAGCACAGCACAGCATAGCTCAGCATAACATAGCATAATATAGCATAGCCTAGCCTAGCCCAGCATAGCATTGCGCAGCATAGCATGCCATAGCATAGCATGACATGACATGGCATAGCAGAGCAGAGCATAGCGCAGCACAGCATCCACTATTGCTGCTGCTGTATATATATATATACATATATATATATATCTACTTAGATGTGTGTGTGTGTGCGCACGTATGTTCCATGCATGTTGTCCGTCAGTGGGCCATCTTGAGCCCTTAGTGCGGGAGTTTGAGCCCTTAGGATTCAGGAAGGTTTCGCACATTGCACCGGCTGGGAGACATGAAACCTGACGTATTACCGCATGTCCTAAATGTCTCTCTATGTATGCAAATCTGTGTATATATATACATAACACCCATGTGGAATGCTGCATGTGTGTGTGTGTGTGCGTGTGTATGCATGTATTTGTTCAGCACCGCGTCGTAATGCCTTCTACTACTACTACTACTACTACTACTACTACTACTACTACTACTACTACTACTACTACTCCTACTCCTACTCCTACTCCTACTCCTACTCCTACTCCTACTCCTACTCCTACTCCTACTCCTACTCCTACTCCTACTCCTACTCCTCTACTACTCCGACTCCGACTCCGACTCCGACTCCGACTACTACTACTACTACTACTACTACTACTACTACTACTACTTACTACAAACTACAAATACTACAAATACTACTACTACTACTACTACTACTACTACTACTACTACTACTACTACTACTACTACTACTACTACTACTACTACTACTACTACTACTACTACTACTACTACTACTACTACTACTACTACTACTACTACTACTACTACTACTACTACTACTACTACTACTACTACTACTACTACTACTACTACTACGACTACTACTACTACTACTACTGATACTACTACTACTACTACCACCGCTACTGTTACAGTACGACGATGAGGAGAAGGAGGAGGACGGCGTTTACCGCTCCTACTAATGTTGCCTTTCTAGAGGCTCCAACTCCTAGGTAGGGTCGCACTGGGATAATTTCTAACTATTTTTGAATATCCCTCCTGTAGAGGGACAGGCCCGACTTAGATCAAGATCCCTGGAGGTCACTGCAAGCCGCTGGAGACATCCCAGAGGCCCGAAAACGTCAGAAACCACTGATCCTCCCCACTCTGGATCAGTGCCTGAAGCCGTGGGCCCCCAAACTCTCGACACCTTCCCTGGAGTTAGTTTTAAGTCGGGCCTGTCCCCCTACAGGGGGATTTTCGATGAAAAATAAAACATATCCCAACAATAATCAACAAATTGTCCAAAAATAGTATGGGGACTAATTTTCTGGTATTTTGTTGACCCTTTTGGGGTATTGCTGGGGTATTTTATATTTGTCACCGAGAATTCCCCTGTAGGGGGACAGGCCCGACTTAAGATTAATTCTCACCCCATATAATGTTCTGATGGTTCTGGTGTCCGAACGCAACACCCGGAGGCCGGAACAGATCAAGGGGCCCAGGGACAAACGAATAAGTAGACGCAATCCCAGGGTTCCCCCCATCTTTGCAGATCTCCTGGATTTTAGCATTCCCACTTCCAGTATCGTCCCCATATCTTCTGGGGGATCGACGCTGACCTGTTTCTGTGTATTCCTCCCTCGTGGACAGAGGGAACAAAACAAACGAAGATGTACGGTTTCAGCTCGCTGGAGGTATGGGTCCCGCAATCCTCTTGATGCTTGGCTCGTCCAGCGGGTCCAGCTCGACGAAGGGGAGGCTCTCCTTGGTCGTGATGCGACGACGACGGCGGCAACGACGATGACTCGGCGGCGAAGGGGGGGACGTGAGAAGGAGAAGGCCTTCTCAGAAGGCGGCGGGGCTTCGCAGAAGCCATAACGAGCGGCGTCCAGCCGCGGCAACAAGAGGGCTCCCGAAGGCCAGAACACAGTGGAAAGAACGAGGAGGAGGAGGAGGAGCAGGAAGAGGAGGAGGAGGAGAAGGAGGAGGAGGAGCAGGCGGCGGCGGCGGCGAACGGCAGGCTCGCCTGGATCGTAATGCACTCCTTCAGGAGGCAGAACTCGCGGGTCTGCTTAAACTTCTGGACCTGCCCAGGGGACTGTGGCCTGCAGTATTCTGGCTCCTCCTCCTCCTCCTCCTCCTCCTCGTCCTCCTCATCCTCCTCTAACGTGGCTCCCCTTACTTCTCCTGCTTCATCGACATGTTTTCGGGCGTCTTCTCTCACTTAATGAATCGCCCAAGGCCTCCAGAGAGGCCCCGCAACTTTTGTTCTTCCTGCTCCTCCTCGAAGATCTGAGATCATTCCCAACCATCCTCTGGTGTTGGGTCCTCGTTTTGAAGAGACAGCGCCCCACGTTCTCGCTCCTCTCCTCCTCCACCTGCTCCCTCCTCCCATCCATTGCCTCTACCCTCCGCATGTCATCATCGTCCAATGGGCACATGCAATTCCACCTCCACTTCGGCACACTCATCACACGTTTCGTGGCCACATAGGGTGCTCCACCAGAGACCCCAATGGTAGGGTCCGCATGCAGTTCCAACCCCAATCCGGCGCATCCCTCACACGTAGGTTTTGTGGCCCCATAAGGTGCTCTATCGAAGGCCCCAGTGGCAGGGTCCGCATGCAAATTCACCTCCATGTCGGCGCACCCCTCACACGGTTCGTGGCCCCACAGGGTGCTCCACCGAAGGCCCCAATCGTGCTGCACCGAAGGCCCCAGTGGCAGGATCCCCATGCAGTTCCACCTCCATTTCGGCGCACCCCTCACACGTTTCGTGGCACCATAGTGTGCTCCACTGGAGGCCCCAGTGGCAGGGTCCGCATGCAGTTCCACACCAATTTCGGCACCTCTCACATGTTTCGTAGCCACAGACAGAAGGAGCTCCATCGAAGGCCCCAGCGCAGTGGCATGGCCCGCATGCAATTCCACCCCCAATCTGGCGCACCCGTCACACGTTTCGTGGCCCCATGAGGTGCTTCACCGAAGGCCCAGGGTTGGCATGCAGTTCCACTTCCACTTCGGCGTGCCCCTCAGACGTTTTGTGGCCCCGTAGAGAGCTCCACCGAAGGCCCCACTGGCCAGGTCCACATGCGGCTCCACCCCCGCTTTCGGCACACTCCTCACACGTGTCGTGGCCCACAGGGAGGGAGCTCCATCGAAGGTCCCAATGGCAGGGTCCGCAGGCAGTTCCACAACAATTTCGGTGCACCCCTCACACGATTTGTGGCCCCATGAGGTGCTTCACCGAAGGCCCCAGTGGCAGGATCCGCATGCAGTTCCCCCCCCAATCTGGCGCACCCGTCATACGTGTCGTTGCCCCAGAGGGTGCTCGACCGAAGGCCCCAGTGGCAGGGTCCGCATGCAATTCCACCCCAATTTCGGCGCACCCCTCACACGTTTCGCAGCCCTGTAGGGAGCTCCACCGAAGGCCCCAGTGGCAATGATCACATGCGGTTCCACCCCTGCTTTCGGCGCACCCCTCACACATTTCGTGGCCACAAAGGGAGGGTCCGCATGCAGTTCCACCCCATTTCGGTGCACCCCTCACACGTTTCGTGGCACCGATAGGGAGCTTCACCGACGGCCCCAGTGGTAGATCGGCATGCAGTTCCACTTTCACTTCGGCGTACCCCTTCACACGTTTCGCGGCCACAAAGGGAGGGAGCTCCACCGAAGACCCCGATTGCTGCGTTCGCATGGCGTACTCTGTGTCCCTCAATAATTCTGGGTCCCTGGACTACTGGTACCCCCCGGACTACAGGTACCCCTTCCGTACACCCCCCCTGGACTACAGGTACCCCCCCCTGGACTACAGGTACCCCTCCCCGGATTACAGGTACCCCCCCCCCGGACTACAGGTACCCCCGTTAGGCGCTACAAATCCTCTCCGAAGCTACAGGACCCCGTCAATTCGCTATCCACTGGGAGCCAAAACGGTCCACCAAGTTTGTCGTCTCTGCACATTTCCACCCATCGCCCACATTGGGTCAGCGGTCGAGACGGGGAACTGTGGAGGGACGAATGGGCGTCGACGAATAACATGCGTGCTTCGACGAATAACATGCGCGCGCCCCCGGACTACAGGTACCCCCGCGCGGTCCCACCCCCGGACTACACCCCCTGGACTACAGGTACCCCTTCCCCGGACTACAGGTACCCCCCCCCGGACTACTGACACCCCCCCCTGGACTAGTACCCACCCCGGACTACAGGTACCCCCAGAACTATTGAGGGACACAGAGTACCCGCACCCGAGCCGGCGCACCCCATCACATGTTTCGTGGCCCCAGAGGGAGCTGCCCCCCGTTCGTCCCGAATGGCTTGCGGTACTTGCACCCGCATGTGGCTGGGTCCTTCGCAAGGATGTGTTTTCTATTCAGTTTTGCTTCTTCCTGTGCCTCCGAAACCTCTGGGGACTTCAGCAGCCTCTTAGGATCTCGGATGACCTCCTGAAACCTCTGGAGACTCCTCCTCCAAAGTCCTCGGCCCCCTCGTCTTCGCCGATCGTCTGGCGGCTTGATGTTCCTACAACTTTGGTGTAAGACTCTTGTCATCCGCCACCGTGCCCCCATGACACTGAGGACGGGCTCACGCTCAGAATTCATCAGAATTCTCTCAGTATTATGTTCTTCTCAAGCTTGCTCAATTACGCTCAGACTCCTTCGCGTTCAGACCCACACGCCAGAGAGACATCTTGGGTAGAGCGCCCGTTTTCGGTACAAGTGACTCTTTTCAGAGACCCAGGAACACCACGATATATGTCGCATTGTTGCACGGGACCGTTCGCACCCAGATTCGTGGGACCTGTCAGGTACAATGCCTCTTTTGATAGGTACGCGTGCCTCTCTTCAGCCGCCGGCGCCCGCGATGCAGCATGTATCACATGAAGGCCTACCGAGAGAGGACGACTCGACTGGACTGGCCCAGGTTGCGACCCGTGTGATCGAGAAGCTCCTAACGACCTCTGCTTATGTAAAAATAAATAGCTCAGAAGACCGAATTCAGCTCCAGACGTAAGGATATCTCAAGCATTCTCGAAGGGGGGTCGACCAGGAGCATTCGACGGGCCCGTTCGCGTCCAAATTGGTGAGATCTCTAAAACAGACAGCCACTGTTCGGAGGTTCTCTCCAGAGCCCATGAGCACCGCAGTGTCGAAGGCAGCGCAGTGGAGCCTCCCAGGAGCGGTCGACCAGGGGGTGTTCCACAAGCCCAGTCGCGCCCATATTGATGGGACCTCTCAGGAGCCAGCTCCCGTTTCAAGAGGTGGGCGTGCCTCTCCTCAGAGCCCCATGAGGGCCGCGATGTGCAGAGTGCATCGCATCCGGACCTCCCGAAAGAAGGGAGGTCGACGAATATTGTTCCGCGGTCCCGTTCTCTCTCTCACAGTCGTGCTCAGCTGTGCTCAGACCCACTCATCCTCGGACCAGCTCAAAGTCAGCTGGACTCATACTCCGCCCCACTCAAACTCGGGCTCACTCACTCAGGCTCACTCGCAGTCAATCTCTCATGCTGAGACTCGCTCGTACTCAGACCCCTCCTACTCAGACGCTCATCTGAATGCCTGTTTTTCCTCGAGTGTGGAGCCTCTGTGGGGCCGTTTCGAATATCAATTTCTGTGGGGCCACTATCGGGTCTTGGGAACGCCAACCAACAATACGGCCCAGGACGAAGAATCGATTCCTGGGATGGGCCCAGACCTCTAGGGCCTCACGATGCTGGAAGGCTGGGTCCTCGATTCCTTCTCCCTCGGTGGCCTTGTAAATGCTTCTGCGCAATGTTGGACCTGGGGCCTCCGAAGCCTCCAGGGGCCCTGGCTATCTTGGCTCTTGTTGCTGTTTCACCTTGAAGATATTCAGAATTTCATGATAAAAGGGGGGTGGTATAATTTGTTTTGGGCGGTCTGATTCGAATCGTCTTGGACGCTTCCGCGGGGTCTGGGCAAAAAGGCCACCCTTTCATGGCTTGCCTGGGGGGGTCGAAACCTGGTCGTCTGGGAGGGTTTTGACCCCCAAACTGTTCTTACAATTTTTGGGGTGACTGTTGAACGTGCTCGTGTCTGCTCTTGCTCTCTGAAGCCCTCCTGAGGACCCTGGCGAGATCGGGAAACCTCTCTCCCGGGACGCGAAAATGCTCCGGCTCCGCATCGACCACTTAAGAGATCGATTCCGGCCACCCTGGGAACGGCTCGCGTACGGCCAGACCTAGGATTAGGTTGGGCATGTCCCCCTACAGGCGGATTCTGGACGAAAAAATTGAAGAATAAGCCAGAACATTATCAAAAATAGTCACACATAGTCAAACATATTCTCCAAACTATTTGTTGACTGTTTTTTTTTTTTGAATATTCATCCTATAGAGGGACATGCCCGACTTACACCTAGGACAGAACAACATCCTCCAAGAACATGAGACCCTGCCCGGCCAAACTGAAGAACATTCGAGGGTGCTCCCCCCCAGAATGCACAAGAACATCCAACGAGCACGAAGAACGCTAGGGCACCCTCCCCGAACCGACCTCGATCATATACCTCGGTCCGACCGTATTTTCCACATGTCGATGTAAAACGTGCCCATCCTCCACGTCCTCACCAAGACGACGGCATTTTGTGCATGGCGTGTCCCCATCCCCCCCGACCTCTCGGCACCGTCCAGGAGGAACGATGTTCGCCAAATCATTCCTTGGCCACTCCTCCTCCTCCTCCTCCTCCTCCTCCTGCTCCTCCTCCTTGGAGGTCCCTGGAGGCCTCCAGAGGGACAAAAGGGCCGAACAACGCGCTCAGAAGCCTCGAGCAATGACAACAAACAAATCAAACCGCCTCGAGCCATTTCCCTCCCCCGCTCGCACCCCAAGACCATCGACGTCATCATATTTTCGCAACGCGGACCCCAAGAGGTCTCGACCCACTCCCCGCGACCAGACTTTCACCCCGAATACTTCTTCACTGCCCCCGCGCCCAGCGAAGGTCCCCGAGGCCCGAAGCTGCCCCAAGCCCGCCGTCTCTGCTGCTTCCCCGCGGCTCACGAGGTTTGGGTCCCGCAACAGGAGGCCTCCTACATGGGGTCCGAGTAGATGGGGTCGGAGGGTCGCGGCGCATCGCCGATACATCGGCGATGCATCGGCGATGTATCGGCGATGCATCGGCGATGCACCGGCGATGCATCGTCGACGTGGGCAATGCATCGGCCACGTCGGCGTGGAAAAAATCGGGCTCCACATCGAACCGCATCGCCGTTGCATCGACGAAGCGGCGCGATCCTCCGACCCCATCTGCAGTATGAACTCGACCACAAGATACCTTCCGCAAGAAGCCCAACCCTGGAACCCCAGTACTAAAGGGGCCCTGGGACACACAAATAAATACACACAAATAACAGGAGTCCCCATTTGTTTCATATTTTCTGGGGTCTTGCCTTCCCCCCCACTTCCCATATCTTCCCATATGTTCCTGGGAATCGACGATTAATTGTGTCTGTGTTCTTTTCCCTCCTGAAGTGCGTCCATTGGTTTTTGGCATGGGGACGTCACGTTCTCCAGCGTAGAGCCCATCGGAACCAAAAACAAAAAACTGGGGCACTCGACGGACACAGGCAGGGTGCTTCTCGGCATGGGGCTTTCCACTGCAATCGGGACCCCCTCTGGGAGGCCTACAGGGGGATTTTTGACGAAAAATAGAAAATACAAAAAAAAACTCCAAAATGGTAAAACAAAAAAATAGTCCCGAGACTATTTTTGACTATTTTGGAATATCCCCCCTGTAGAGGGACAAGCCCGAGATAAGCCGAGATAGAAGCAAAACGGCATGAACATAACTTTCCGGCGGTCCGCGCGGACTTCTTGGATCTGCGCTGGACCCCATTCCCTGGCGCGCGGAGCGCGCCAGGGGCAGCGCTGGAGGCGCCGCCGGGGGCCCCAGCGCGGATCCAAGAGATCCGCGCGGAGCGCCACAAATTTATGTTTGTGGGGGATCCCAAAACCGTGTGGTGACAGACCGTGCGGTGACCTCGGAACCCCAAGAGACCTCACCGCAGGGTCCGTCACCGCACGGTCTTGGGACCCAAGAGGCCCCTGTCGCCCGAGACATCCTCGGAGGGGGACTCGAGCCCCAAAACCGTGCTGTGACCCCGAATCCCCACCGACTCACCGCACGGCGTGGTCACCACACCGTCTGGAGGCCTCGCCTTTCCTTTTTTCGGGGACGGTCGAGAGGGGGGTGTCCAAGAGGGGGGGGTGCAAATCCTGACCGGCGGCATGTGCGCGGACCAGCGGGGGGGGGGGGGCAGGGACGTAATGAAGTAAGAAGAGGCGCCATGAAATCTGGGGAAATATCATGGCCCCCGTGATATCCCCCCCCCCTAGTCATCACCCCCCTCTTTGCCGCCCCCGATTTTTGGAACCCAAGGCTTCCTGACCTCCGGGGTGCCCGTGATCTTGGCCTTCTTCTTCCCCTTCTTCCCCATCGCGCCGGGCCCGCGCGCGGCGGAGGCGAAGGGGCCGCCACCCGCTCCCCCCGCGCCCAAAAGGGGCGCGGGGAGGCCGCCCGCAACGGCTGCGGCGCGCCGGAGCCCTCCGGCGTCCTAATGATCACAACTTGTTGGCAACGCAGCGAGGCAGGGGGCACCGAGACGAAGCCAGGACGAAGAGAAATGGGGTGAAAATCATCGAGGATCTTTGAGATTCGCCGGATCCGGAAGATGTCTCGGGCGCCGCGGCCTCCTCCGAGCGCTCCGGAACGCCCTGAGAGCGTTCTGGAACGCTCGTGAAGAGATTTATTCTCGTCCCAGGCCCGTCCGAGGCAATCCGCTCGAGCGCTCTAGTGGGTCGGGCTAAGACACGGCACGAATTGTCTGGCCGCCAGAGGGGGGGAAGGGTGGAGCAGGGCGGCCGCGAAGGCCAGGAGGGAGGGGACGACACTCACGGCGCGAAGAACAGCACCGTGGGCGGCTGGTGATGCGAGCCTGTGCGGAGGCACCCTGGCAGTGGACGCGGGGCGGCATGGCGGCACGCAAGCTTCCTGGCATTTGTTTCTGGGCCAAGGGCAATCAGCACAGACAGCCAGGGACAAAAAAAGCCTCTCTGGGGAGGTGCCGAGATCCAGACATCCGACGCCACGAATGCTTGGTGACATGGGCTCCCGACCTCTCGACCCATCCCTGGGGACGTTTTGAAGAGACATCGCGCCGCGACCCTCCTTCTCCTCCTCCTCCTCCTGCTCCTCCTCCTCTTCCTCTTCCCCTTCCCCTTCCTCTTGCTCTTCCTCCTCCTGCTCCTGCTCATGCTCCTCCTCCTCCTCCTCCTCCTCCTCCTCCTCCTCCTCCCCTCATCCCATCCGTGCCTCTGCCCTCCGCATGCCTGTTCCTGTGTACCCCTCACACGCTTCGTGCCCTCAGAAGGAGTTCGTGGCTGCACACGCAGCTCCATCTAAAGGGCCTCACAAGGAGTACCACATGCATTTCCAAGGCCATCTCGGTACACCCATCACACGTTTCGTGGCCCCATGGGGAGCTCCAACTAAGGCCCCAGGGAGGGAGTATCGGCACACCCCTTTTATGTTTCATGGCCCCATGAGAGCTCTCACTAAGGCCTCAGGTGGTGCGCCCACATTCGGTGACCCAGACATTTCGGCGCACCCCTCAGACGTTTCGTGGCCCCACAGGGAGCTCCATCTAAGGCCTCAGGGGGTGCGTCCACATGCGGTTCCCCACCGATTTCGGCCCACTCCTCCTTGGTTGGGTCCTTCGCCTGGATAGTTGTCAATTGTCCCCGGGGCCCGAAACAGACCCCCGGAGCTTTAGATTTGGGAGACGCTGGCTCTCAGATATCTTCGTTGCGGCGGATGTCTGGGGACCCTCGCGGCCGTTGGCGTTGACGTTGGCGTTGACGCTGACCGATCGCAACTAGCCGACATCGTCGACCGACAAATATTGACCGAATTCGGACACCTGGTGAAGTCCCGCCTGAGGACGCCCGCCCTGGCGTCGCCACCGCGTCAACGCGGCGCGAACCTACCGCATGGAATAGCGCAGCGCCCCGCACTTGCGGAGAATAAAGAGGGGACGGGCACGGGATGGGTCGCGGATGGGTCGCAGGTTGGCAGGTTGGTCGCGAGGTGGGTCGCGGGGTGGGTCGCGGGTGGGCTGCGGGGGGGACGACAATAGATAAGGAATCCTTAGTAATGGATCCTTGGTACGGGATCTTTTAGTAAGGGAATGTTAGTCAGGAGTTCAGTGTAAGGAATATTTGATGCCGAATCCTTGGTGAGGAATTTTAGCAACACGACAGAAATAAGGGATCCTCACTTTGGAGCCCTGAGTAAGGATGTATTCACAACCCTCCCTTGGTTGGGTTCTCGATTTGAATAGAGAAGTGGGGTCTATACCTCCTCCTCCTCCTCCTCAACCCCCCCCCGCGATCTCCTCTCCGCTCTCTCCTCCCGCATCCCTCTTGGGGGCCGCAAAGAGTGAAACTGTCGCCGCGTTCGAGGGATGCTGGGGGGAGCCCGCACACTGGGGCCCCACGCAGGCCCAAACGGGGCCTCGCCATCCCTGGGGGCCGTGAGGGGGCTGCGAAGTATGAAACTGGCGCCACGCTCGAGGGCTGCTGGGTGAGCCAACACAGTGGGGCCCCAAGCAAATCCAAACGGGACCTCGCCATCCCTGGGGGTCTGCGGAGTGTGAAACGGTCTCCACTTTCGAGGCCTGCTGGGGTGCGCAAGGCAGTGGGGCCCCACACACATTCAAACGGGACCATGGGGGGCTGCGACGTGTGAAACTGTCGCCACATTCGAGGGCTGTTTGCGGGGCCAGCACAATGGGGCCCCACGCAGACCCAAACGGGACCTCGCCATCCCGGGGGGGGGGGGGGGGCGAAGTGTGAAACTGTCGCCACGTTAGAGGCTGCTGGGGGAACCAACACATTTGGGCCACACGCAGATCCAAACGGGACCTCGCCATCCCTGGGGGGTGCGACGTGTGAAGCTGCCACCACGTTTGAGAACTGCTGGGGGAGCCAACAACATGAGGCCACACGCAGATCCAAACGGGACACCGCCATCCCTGGAGGGTGCGATGTGTGAAACTGTCGCCGCTTTCGAAAACTGCTGGGGGAACCAACACAAAGGGCCCCACGCAAACCTAAACGGGATGTCGCCATCACTGGGGGGCTGCGAAGTGTGAAAGAATCGCAACTTTTGAAAACTGTCGGGGGGCAACACAATGGGCCCCACGCAGATCCAAACGGGACCTCGCCATCCCTTGGGGTCTGCGAAGTACAAAACTGTAGCCACATTGGAAGGTTGCTGGGGGAGCCAACTCAGTGGGCCCCACGCAGACCCAAACGGGACCTCGCCATCCCGGGGGGGGGGTGCGAAATGTGACACGGTCGCCACTTTCGAGGGCAGCTGGGCGGGGCAACACAGTGGGGCCTCACGCAGACCCAAACGGGGCCTCGCCATCCCTGAGGGTCTGCGGAGTGTGAAACTGCCGCCACTTTCGAGGGCTGCCGAGGGAGCCAAAACAGTGGGGTCCCACGCAGAACCTAAACAGACCTCGCCATCTCTGGCCTGGGGTAGGCTGTGAGGTGTGAGATCCCAACGGGGCCTCGCCATATCTGGAGAGGGGGGGGGGCGCTGCGAAGTATGAAACTGTCGCCACTTTTGAAAAATGCAAGCAAAACAATGGGGTGCCACGCAGCTCCGAACGGGACCTCACCATCCCTGAGGGGCTGCGAAATGTGAAACGTTCGAAGGCTGCTGGAGGGTCCATTACAATGGGGCCCCACGCAGATCCAAACGGGACCTCCCCGTCCTTGGGGGGGTGCGAAGTGTGAAACTGTCGCCACTTTCAAGGGCTGCTGGGGGGGGCAGCACAAAGGGGTGCCGCGCAGATCCAAAAAACGACCTCGCCATCCCTGGGGGGTGCGAGGTGTGAGACTGCCGCCACGTTCGAACGCTGCTGGGGGGAGCCAGCACATGGGGCCCCACGCAGACCCAAACGCGACCTCGCCATCCTGAGGGGTGGGCTGAGAAGAGTGAAACTGGCGCCACTTTCGATGGCTGCTGGGGACCTCGCCATCCCTGGGGGGGGCTGCGAAGTGTGAAACTTTAGCCACTTTTGAAGGCTGCGGATGGGGCCAGCAATGGGGTCCCACGCAATCCTCGAGGGCGTCGCCATCCCTGGGGGGTCTGCGGAGTATGAAACTGTCGCCACTTTCGAGGTCTGCTGGGGTGCGCAACGCAGTGGGGTCCCACGCAAGTCCGGAGGAGAATGGGTGGGGGAAGAGGAGAGGGAGGAAGAACATGAGAAGGGGGCGGAGGAAACGGCTGAGGAGGAGGACGACGAGGAGGAGAGGGAGGAGGACGACGACGAGAGGAGGGAGGCGAGGGAGACGAGGGAGAAGTACGATGAGCAAGAGGCGAGGGAGGAGGAGGAGGACGAGGCTGAGGATGCGGAATAATAAAGGATTGTGCTGATGATGAGGAAGGGGCGGAGAAAGAGGATGACGTTGATGATGGTGTTGCTGCTGATGATGATGAGGATGATGATTAGGCGGAGGATGAGGGTGAGGATGAGGGGGAGGGGGAAAAGGAGGAGAGAGGCGAGAAAGAGGAGGAGGGGGAGGAACAGGAGGAAGAGGAAGATAAAGACGGGGAAGAACAGGAGGGGGAGATACGGAAACACGCGACACTTCATCGTCTGGTTTCGTCCCCACTTCTGTAACCTTCTTGCACATTATCAATAAGATTGCTGCTTCTGTCGAGGTGATTGTTTTTCCAAACCCGACGTCTTCCTGTTGCTCCTTCTTCCCAATACAATGCCCCCTGGCCTTTTGTACCTCTGTCCTGCGAATCGGCCACGCACACTTCGGGCGATATAGATATCCGCCGTGCACCGTCTCTTGCAGTGTAGCTGTCGCATTATTGCCGGCACACATTATATCACCCCTTGGTGCCGATGGGTTGGGCACGTCGCAAGCTAATTCATAAAGAAATCTTCAAAGGAATCCTTACCAATGAAACCTTACCGAGGAATCCTTAACACAGAATCCTTACAAAAGGGGTCCTTCGGAAAGAACACTTGCTAGGGAACCCTGAGTCACATTATCTCACCAAAAGATCCATGCAATGAGTCCTTACTGCGGAATCGAGCGTGATAGCTGCCTCATTAGGGTCCGCAGTACGGAGCCCACAGCAAGGAATCATTGGTAAGGAATCCTTAGTAAGGGGCCCCTTTCCAAAATATCCTTCGAACATGGCACCTAATCACACACCCTCGGCAAATTGCCCTTCCTACTACGGAATCCTTACTACGGCATCCGACGGAAGGGTTCTTTACTAGAGCAGCATTAATAAGGTATCCGCATTCACTTAGCCTGGCGACCAGATGGCACCCTCCTCGCTCTTATCTGCTGTTGCGGGGGGCTGCGTGTATTCCTACATGCATCATTGAGGCCTCAGATCCGC